CAATACAGTGGTGGTGGTGGGAGCCTCTCCTGCCTCCTCAGCAGCACTAAGGATGTCCGACTGCAGCTTATGCCTGCTCCCTGCTAGCAAGTGGACATCCCCCGAGGGCTCCTGGGCTGCCAGAGGAATGTCTGACTGCCAGCTTAGGCCTGTTCCCCCAGGGAGCGGGCCTAAGCCAACAGGTGGTCATCCCCCTAGGGTCCCAGACTGAGAGAGGGCACAGGCTGGGCTGAGGGACCCCCCAAGTGCACAAATTTTTGTGCACCGGGCCTCTAGTAAATAAATAAATAAATAAATAAATACATTTGTGGAAAAACAATTTTGCTTCCAGTATTCAAAACCTATGTTTCCAAATGGCAAATAAGTCATGGAGTCATTGAAGAATGAGTGAAATTCAAACATATGTATTAGATGCTACACAGGACCCCTTCAGCTTAAAATAATAAATTTATTTAAACAATTTTAAAAGATGCTGAGCTGACATTTTAACAAAAGAGATAAAGACAGTATAAATAAACTCATGAGAAAAACACTCACCATAAAAATTTCTTACATAAATGGGTTCCAGGGCCACTATTTAAAAAGGTTAACCACTGCACGTGCTGAGCGTAGCAGAAAAACTGGAATTTTTATATACAGTGGGTTAGTGGGAAGGCAAACAGTTCCCCATATTTTAAATGTAAAACATTCACCAACACTGCAATAGTTTGAGAAGTAAAACATATGTCTCTATAGAAACTGAAGACAATATTTATAAAACCCCAAAACTGGAAATAACCAAAACCATAAATAGTCCAATAGATAAATTCAATACCATAGAGCACAGTACTACTCAGTAATAAAAAAAACGTAACTATCCACATAAACATTAGTGTTGAATCTGAAAATAACTGTGTAGCATGGAGGAAACCAGTATTTGTTAAAGACTACACACCTTCTAGTGCTTACAAAATTTTGAAAAATATGAACTATTCCACTCAAAAGAAGGAAAATCCATGACTGCATGGAGGGCCAAGAAAGGCAGGAAGGGAGATTATAAAAGGGCAGTAAGAATATACAGGATGTGGCACAATAGGTGTAGAGTTGTTGGTATGGAAATTAATACAACAATTAATAATATTACAGGAACAAACTTTTCCCTGCCAGTGAGCCTCAGTTGGTTGGACACCATCCTTTGCCCTGAAAGTCACGGGTTCCATTCCTGCCTGGATGCCCTGTAGGTGGCAGGCAGGAGGCAGCTGTTAGCTGCATCTTTTCCACATCGCCATTTCTCATTCTCTGTCTCCCTCCCTCTTTCTAAAAAGCCAATAAATCATTTTAAAGATATATAAAATACTTATTTTTAAAAATAAAAATAAACACTTAGTTTTGCATATTGACATCTTTAAGCCTATTTACTGGCAGCAAATATTGTCAAGCAGTGAAGACTATTTCCATCAGAATCAAAAGGAATCACAAAAGACACATCCTGGGACTGATTACAGGCTTATCCTGCCTCTAGCTTGGAGGTCTTGCCTGCTGAGCAAACCCTGAAGTGAACACCCTAGATGGGTGAGGGGAATCCAAACAACTATTACATTATTTTTTCTGCCAACTATTTCAGCCACAGGAGACAGTGATGGAGGTCCTGAGAATGTCTGTACAAGAAGATCACACAAGCCACAGCCCACTGACCATTTGAGGATAACATTGAGAAGAAGCACTTTTCATGTAATTTACTCCAATCTTTCCCACTCACTATGAACACAGTGTTTCTGTCCTAATTGTGGTTCAATCTAATGCTCAGTGTCTTAAAACCAATGGCACCAGCCTATGAAATTTTATATATTATGTTACCTGGCTCCTTTACAGTATGTGGGTAAGAATCCCCTGAAACATTGCTGACAATTATGTAATAAATGCTGTGAACAGAAAATACTTTTCATATTGTTCACAGAAGCACAACAAAGGCCTCCTTTTCTGGGTGACCATGACATCACCAATAATAGAGGCACCAGGCTGCAAATTAGAACCACAAAGGCATGCACACTTTCTCTCAGGGCCTTGGTAAGCAACATAAAATAAGCCAATATTGGACAAAGAGTGCTGTTCTGATATCATGCTGTGCTTACCAAAGCACAAAAAGTTTGGGACCCTCCATATCTGTTCACCTCTCCATGCTGACAAAGCACTATTTTCCTTTCAATCATCCCAAGGAATTAAAAGAACCAACAGAATTAGAGGTACAAAAGAAAAAAACCCTTTAAAAAAGATCATAAACCAGAGCAAAGGACAGCAGGATGGTGAATTGGAACCTGAAACCATTCACCACAACATAATGTGAGAACCACAATGTCCCTGTGAGAGGTAGCACTTCTCAGCTGAGGATGGGTGCTCTGGATGAAACCTGGGTAAGGTAAATTCTCTAGTCAGAGAGAAAAGAATGAAGATACAGTCAAGAGCTGAAAGTATTCATAAATTTCTCATGCACAACAGAGAACACAGAATTCCTTTTCCCTGAGCACGCAGGGGTGGTGACTGGTGCACAGTTCAGTGAGCCAGGTGGTACAGGAGGTCACTTCAACCACAAATCCTCACAGTGATATCAATGAGGCAGGAGTGCTGGGAAGTTAGCAACTGCAATGCAGCTCTTTCAGGCCTCACTTCTACCTCAAACTTATGAGGAATTTCGCACAGTGTATGTTCAGATAACAGGGGTTTATACTCAGGTAAATGGATTTAAGTCTCCTGCAGTGTTGTAGAGTGAGAAAGAAAACTTCCCCTGCACATTTAAGGCTTTGGTCCAATGTGAACTCTCAGATGTCTAACAAGGCTAGGGTTGCTGCTAAAACATTTCCCACATTTATTACACTCATACGGCTTTTCTCCAGTGTGACTTCTGTGGTGCTCCATGAGTGAACGTCTTTGACTAAAGGACTTTCCACACTCACTACACTCATACGGCTTTTCTCCGGTATGAACTCTGTGGTGTTCAATAAGCTTGGACTTTCGTCTAAAGAACTTCCCACAATCACTACATTCAAAAGGTTTCTCTCCAGTGTGAACTCTCTTGTGTTCAGAGAGGTCATAGCTTCTCCTGAAGGACTTCCCACAATCAGTACACTCATAAGGTTTTTCTCCAGTGTGAACTCTCTTGTGGTTAAGGAGACTATTAGTGCTCCTAAAAGATTTCCCACAATCAGTACACTCATAGGGTTTTTCTCCAGTGTGAATATGGTGGTGTTCCGTGAGCTGAGAGCTTTGCCTGAAGGACTTCCCACAATCACTACACTCATATGGCTTTTCTCCAGTGTGAGCTCTCAGATGTCTAACAAGGCTAGGTTGCCATCTAAAACATTCCCCACATTTATAACACTCATGGGGCCTTTCTCCAGTGTGACTTCTGTGGTGCTCCATGAGAGAACGTATTTGTCTAAAGGACTTTCCACAGTCACTACACTCATACGGCTTCTCTCCGGTATGCACTCTATGGTGTTGAATGAGGTTCCCCTTTCGTGTAAAGAACTTCCCACAATCACTACATTCAAAAGGTTTTTCACCAGTGTGAACTCTCTTGTGTTCAGAGAGGTGACAGTTTCTCGCGAAGGACTTTCCACAATCTGTACACTGATAGGGTTTTTCTCCAGTGTGAACTCTCTTATGGATAAGGAGCTTATTATTTCTCCTAAAAGATTTCCCACAATCAGTACACTCATAGGGTTTTTCTCCAGTGTGAAAACAGCGGTGCTCAGTGATGTGAGAACTTTGCCTGAAGGACTTTCCACAATCACTACACCCATACGGCTTTTCTCCAGTGTGAACTCTGCGGTGTGAAAAGAGGTCGGACCTTTGTCCAAAGGACTTCCCACAATCAATACACTCGTAGGGCTTTTCTTTAGTGTGAACCCTTCCATGTTGAATGAGGTGAAAGATTCGTTTAAAAACTTTCCCACATTTGTCACATTCATATTTCACTTCTCCAGAGAAGGCACCCTGATGCTGAACAACTTTCTGGTTTTGGCTGCCAAAGTTTTCACAGTTGCAAGTCTGCTGAAGACTCTTTCTACCAAGATATCCCTGTGAAATCTCACTGCCACTGTGTAGGTCCTCAGTGTTGAGAGGGGCCTGGTGCTGGAGAAGCTCTGAGATGGCTGGGAATACTTTCCCAACCTCCCTACTGCTTGAAGGCACCCAAGTTAAGTAGAAGCCGCACCTGGTCACAAACGAGACCCTGTCCATGTCTTCTTTCCAGAGTTTCTCTCTAGTGGAATCCCTCTGTTGCTGGTGAGGGTTTGCATTGAAACAGAAGTCTCTCACACATGCGTCACTGAAGAAGTCTTTCTGCTCATAGTCTGCTGCTTGTGACTCAGTCAGGTGCACAATATTTTTTAACACCGAGACACACTGGTTACACAGAAGGGTCCTCTGGGTTGCTGGAGCTGTCTCAGAAGCCCTGACCTGCGATTCTCCTTGAACAGATATGCTCCGCTCAGGAAAGACCTCGTCATCATACGTTTTATGCCAACAACCTGAAAAGAGAGAATTGAGGAGGAATTGATTGTTGAGTGTGGTGGCAGGGTAAGTTCCATTGGTAAAGCGTTTTGCACATAATACATGGGTTCTATGCAATTGTCAGAAAATAAGAGATGTGCAGGAAGGATTAATAAGAAGCTGCTGTGAAGGTCTAGCCTCTGAAGGTGACTAAACAGGGAAGACCTCACCAGAAACATGACACACACATGGCAAGGACCATGTGAAGAGAAGATGCTCCCCACTCAGTTCTCTGTTAACAGTGCTCAGCAGGGCTGGTCTGCTGATGACAGGGGGGAGCTGTGCAGAATGTTGGTTATGTCTTATTCCAAGTAAAATCCAATAAACAAGTAGCAGGTGTTTGAGCACTTACGAATGAATGTGCACCTCATAACACGTGTGCAGGTACATGTAGGAGAATACTGCACAGGGAAAAGAGCCGAGGGACAGGTGATGCTAAAAGCTAACAAAGGTGAAGGTGCCAAAAGCCAGGAAGTCACAGATGAAATGCAAGTCCGCAAAGTGTTAAGTATGGGAAAGAGAAGGTAGAAATGGGGGGTAGCCATGGCACTTGCCCCTAAACAGTGATGGAAATTAGCTGGTTCCTGGTACCATCTGACCACCACCATTATGTCATACCTTCCCCCCAGTTGTCACTCAGCATGGCCAGACCAAATCTGACACCATCTTGCATGGTCACCCTGTGAGATAACCAGGCTTCTCCCTGATCTTCTACTCTATCAATGCATAAACCCTAAATATTCCAAGTATTAATGAAAAACAATGGAGGAGAGCAACCCGCTCTGGCCTAGAGCAATTTGGCCCACAATAGTACTCAGCTAAGGTAATATTACAAACAACAATTGGAGAAGGGTCTTACAAGAATAGCCCATGGTTCATGGAAGTGAAGAACATAACCTGGCACAGGCTGTCATAAAGCACCTTTCCCTAGAGCAGTGATGGTGAACCTTTTGAACTTGGCGTGTCAGCATTTTGAAAAACCCTAACTTAACTCTGGTGCCATGTCACATATAGAAATTTTTTTATATTTGCAACCATAGTAAAACAAAGATTTATATTTTTGATATTTATTTTATATATTTAAATGCCATTTAACAAAGAAAAATCAACCAAAAAAATGAGTTCGCGTGTCACCTCTGACACAAGTGTCATAGGTTCGCCATCACTGACCTAGATAAACCACTCTTGAAAAAAAATGAAGAGCCCTGGACGGTGTTGCTAAATGGGAGAGGAAGAGGAAGATAGAACCCATTAGTTGCCTCGAAGACTCCAAGACACTTTCTGCACTTTGGGGGGCAACATGTCAGGGATGTTCATGGAGTCCATTGGTCAAGACTGTCCACACAGCTCAGCATAGGCAGCCACAGCATGTTTGACAAGACAGAGGCAGAAATCAGCAGAACACTAGGTCTGGCTGTCTGGCTGTCTGGCTGCCTGGCTGTGGGAGAGAGAAAGCTATGTTTTGAGAATAAAGGAAGAAAGGACATCACATGGGAACACTAGAACATATGAGAAGGTCTTACCTACAGATGAGACAAGTGCAAACACTTCCAGCATCACATCACAGTACAGAAGTCTCTGAGCCTCATCAAGGAGCCTCCACTCCTCCTGAGAGAAGGCAATGGCCACGTCCTCAAAGTCCATATCCTGTCATAATGGGGACAGTTCAGTCCATGATCAACTTCTCTCCTAGGCTTCAATTTCGTCACACTTCCCACTCTCCATATCCATCTCCTCCCTCCTCTCCCCTCATCACAGAAAATATCAGGCCTTAAAAAAAAATAGCAGGCCTTGCATTCATCAAAGTCACTCTCTCATTATATTCCTACTGATACTGTGTCTTCCCACAGCAATAAAGCAGATGCCCAGATTGATTATACCTGACCTCAGGGCCTCACTTTTAGGGTCAACGCAATAGGTGTCACCATCACAGGGTACAGATAAATGTTGGCCATAAAGAGAGAGGTGAGTGATTTGACACTGGTCTTCTGGGGCAGTGGTCGGCAAACTCATTAGTCAACAAAGCCAAATAGCAACAAGTACTTCTTGAAAATAGACTTGCCCAGGCCCAAAACCGACTTCTGCACATGGGCCACGAAGTTTCAATAGTACTGTACGTGCACCCGCATGTGGTATTTTGTGGAAGAGCCACACTCAAGGGGCCAAAGAGCCGCATGTGGCTCGTGAGCCTCAGTTTTCCAACCATGGTTCTGGGGCAATATCCCTGTGGTCCCACACATTCTCCCTCCAAGACCCCGAAAAACATGGCATCACTTTTCACACTTTCGATTCCAATCCTAGTGTGCTGAGGCCAGCACTTTGAGCTACCATTTCCACATAATTCTTCCTATCCCACTTCTGTCATACAGCTTCATTCCCAGAGTCACAACTTCAAAGACAGTTTTCCAACCATGGTTCTGGGGCAATATTCTTGTGGTCCCACACATTCTCCCTCCAATACCCCGAAAAACATGGCATCACTTTTCACCCTTTCGATTCCAATCCTAGTGGGCTGAGGCCAACACTTTGAGCTATCAGTTCCACATAATTCTTCCTATTCCACTTCTCTCATACAGCTTCATTCCCAGAGTCACAACTTCAAAGACAACACATGTATGCCATCAAGAGAAAGGGATGTTATCTAATGACCTTCTTTTCAACCTTGTAACTCGCCTCCTCTGTAATGTATTTCTCTCTTACCCTTCTCCCTTCCACAAGCCAGTAGAGATTTTCAAGCCCAGGTGACACTGATGTCTGTTATCCCATTCCTATAGATCATTGTATCCGCCCAACATTCACAGGCAGGTGTGCACCTATATGACACCTAAATTCTGCACCAGGCATGTAGCGCCACAACACCAGTCTTTTCAGGAATTACCCTAAAATTCCTCAGGTTGTATCATCCAATTATCACCAGAAATAGACTCAACCTTCATTCTCTCTATATCAACATCAGGGATTTGTGGCCATGAATTCACACTCCCTCTCCAAGGGTCCATCACTCCTTCTCCCACACCTCTCTCATGCCTGGACTCCTGTAGCCCCAGCTCCCATAGACATCTCCTTGGTTCTGGCATGTAGCGCCACAACACCAGTCTTTTCAGGAGTTACCCTAAAATTCCTCAGGTTGTATCATCCAGTTATCACCAGAAATAGTCTCAACCTTCATTCCCTCTATATCAACATCAGGGATCTGTGGCCATGAATTCACACTCCCTCTCCAAGGGCCCATCACTCCTCCTCCCACACCTCTCACATCTGCACTCCTGTAGCCCCAGCTCCCATAGACATCTCCTTGGTCTTTGTCTTTACTCAGCATGTGTGTTCCAGAAACTGCATGGCAAGTTCAAACAGTATCAACTACTAACCTGACTCGGAATGCCCACACCCAAGACACAGCCTTCAGTTCTGTTATGAAGGCCTCCCTCCTAACTTGCTTTTTCCTTCAACCTCACCTATTGAGAACCACATCAGATCTCAGTTATCGAGAACCCACCTCTACTGCGGCTGCACTTGATGTCCATTCTCCACTCACAGACTTCAGTACCCAAGTCCCACATCCTATGGTCCTCTACCCTATGCCCAGTGAGTCTCACAGATGTCCCCTCTTGTCCATAAGCAAATCAACCAAACTGGATGCAACACACCAGGCCACACATAGGGTCACAAGAAATCGTGGTGAGTGTTTAAGAAGTAAATATGCACCAGCCACAGTCTCACTTTCTTTGAATTACTCTTCCACCTAAGGGTACGGTCTTTTTTTTTTTTTTAGTTTTATTCATTTCAAACGGGCCGGATCCAGCCCGTGGGCCGTAGTTTGCCCACGGCTGGTCTATACTCAGCATGTGTGTTTCAGAAACTGCATGGCAAGTTCAAACAGTATCAACTACTAACCTGACTCTGAGTGCCCACATTCAAGGCACATCCTTCAGTTCTGTTATGAAGACCTCCCTCCCAACTTGCTTTTTCCTGCAACCTCACCTATTGAGAACCACATCAGATCTCAGTTACCCAGAGCCCACCTCTACTGCTGCTGCACTTGATGTCCCTTCTCCACTCACAGGCTTCAGTACTCAAGTCTCACAGCCTATGGCCCTCTACCCCATGCACAGTGAGTCTCACAGATGTCCCCTCTTGTCCATGAGCAAATCAAACAAACTGAATGCAACACACCAGGCCACACAAATGGTCACAAGAAATCCTGGTGAGTGTTTAAGAAGTAAATATGCACCAGCCACAGTCTCACTTTCTTTGAATTACTCTTCCACCTCCAATTAAAAAAAAAAGCAGTGATCCAGAAATCCTCCCTGGTCCAGACTCTTTACTATTTTTTTAATTAGTTTTCATCTTAAACTACTCCTCAGAGTTCCAGATGTTCATGAACTGGTCTCTGAAATATCTCATAACTTAAGATGAAAAAATAAAAGATTTTATATTCCTCATGGACATTACTATTCCCACTAAGAATTTCTCCATCACAGTTGATGGGGCTTTAATACCATCAGGTGCTAAATCCAAACCTTTACATCATCTCTGATTCTTACCTCTCTCTCCAATCCTCAAAATTAGGAAATCCAGGTGGCCACAGCTATAACCCTGATCCATATGCAACTGCTTCTTCCACACCCACAACCACCACTGTGCTCCAGGTACCCTCACACTCACCAGCACTATCACAGCAGCTTCCGTCCTGGGCTTCCTACCACCGTCCTCACACCCATCCTGTGCATCAGGCTGCAGCCACAGGGAGTCTAGTGAGACCTGGGACAGGTCACCTGCTCTACTGCTCCCATGACCCCAATGACCCCATCACCAGCAGAACAGAAACCCAAGTGGTCACAAAGCTCCTCTGCACTTGGTTCCTGTCCCACTGTTTCCAGTTCCTATTTTTAAAAAATGGACCCTGCTCGTCCCTGAATCAGCTTAGTCTTCAAGCCTTTGCACATTCTGGAGCCCATGCGCGGAAGGACCTGTCACACACAATTCCACTGGCTGCCAAAATCAGGGGCCACTCACATGACCCTTGACCTGGGCTTGGTGTCCCTACAAGGTCCCCAGGTCCAAGGTCCCCCGAGAAGAGGGGCCGACAGCCCCAGGACCCCCCGACTCTAAGGGCCCCGAAAGGTGGGGGCCCTGAAAGGAGCCCCACAGCCCCGTCCCCCCAGCGGCTCTGCACCCGCAGGAACCGGTGGGAACTAAAGGGCTGAGGGCCGGGCACCCACCCCAGGACCCAGGGGCTCGGGCTGCTCAGAGCCCTGGCCCCGCCCCGGGGGGGTGATGCCCGCCGCCCTCGGGGCTCAGTCCAGTGCGCACCTGCCAGTGACCTCATCACCTACAGGGTCCTCCTTCCCGCCCTCCTGCTGGCCTCTCCCGTGTAGTCTATTCTTCCTCTGAGCAGTTTTGAGAAGAGGCTAGAACCCTAACTCACACTAGGTCCCTCTTTGGTTCACAGCCACGGATGGCAGCAGCTTCCTGAAAACAAAAGGAAAAGTCCTCACACAAAACTTCGCTTCATCTTCTTTGTTGCCTTTAGGGATATGACAGACCTGGGTTCCCCCATCCTCCCTCCTCAGTCACAGCCCCACCGCCTCACACGGCTTTTCAGCCTGTCACCCTCTCCCACCCGGTCACACCACGTGGCACCCTCAAGCCACTCACTGTTCGGGTGCTGAGACCTGGGCTGCAGGCGGGACAGGCACCCACCCCCCAGGCAGGAGGGCAAATGAGGTGAGGCCGGTTGAACTCTGGAAGCAGAGAGGAGTCGGGGAGGCATGGAGACTCAAATCCCGCCGTTTGGGGGTCAACAAGCCTCAGAGACACCCTGCCCAGCGGGGACGCTGCCTCCACCACCTCCTCCTACTCGACACCAGAGCGCTGAGGCTTGCGAGCCCCTGAGCCTACAGAAGAGGGAGAAATGAGCGCCAGAAGGAGGACGCCGGAAGTCCCGCCCTAACCGGATGCGCGGGAAGCAGCGGGGACGATGCCTCCCCCGACCCCTCCTTCGCGCCACCAACGCTCAGGCGCGCGCTGAGCCCCGCAGGTCCGTTACCGGAAGCCACAACGTCCGCCCCCGAGGGCGATACCGGAAGTCCCGCCCTAACTGAAAGTGCAGGAACCCAAACGCGCGTATCTCAACGGAAGCCTGCGCAGTGCCTTCTGGGTGATGTAGTTTTCTCCGGCCGCCCTGGCCGTGACCTTGGGGAGTGAAGGTGATGCGGCGCTGCCAGGGGCGCTGGGGGAGGAGATGGGACCAGAGGCCGGGTTCACGGGGACAGACCGACAGGCCCCCCAGGGGAGGGGGGACGGGGAGAGACCCCCAAAGAACATATGCACAGGGGAATGGGAGACATCTCAACACCATGGACAATAAAAATACACATTACATTTTATTACAAATATACAATAGAGCTCAGCTGGGGCCGCTCAGTGGTGGACGCTGACCGATGAACCGGGAGAGCAGGTTCCATCGCTGGTCAGGCCCGTGCACGGGGCGCAGGCACA